AAAATGAAATGCTACAAGCAAAGCAACAGATGTATTTGAGAACACTAGTACGACTTGTAACAAACGTTTCACAGCCTTGCTCTTTTTAAAGCACCAGTGCATGTGTATGAAATTAAGCATGCCAGGTAGTGGGAATTCCTTGCCAATAAACATCACCACTAGCACTGAGAATGTAATGTTTGCTATAGACCACAGTAGGAACACCACCGGCAATGGAAAAGTATAGTACCAAGCCACAGTGCTGCTGGAATAGGCTTCACTGTAAGATATTAGATCCTTTATAAGCATAACGAGCATTAGTATGACACATGATGTTGATATTTCCGAAAAGAATTCCCCAATCTTTCGAAATAGAGAAAATTTTGTAAGTAGGAGGAGGACATAAAATGCAATCACTGATCCAACAGCTGCTAAGTATTCAAATGCTATCAGTGCTCTTGTAGTCCCACGAAGATCGTTACCATAAACAATATACTTTTCTTGCTCTTTGTCATAGTACAATGCGTAATAATGGTCCTCCTCTAAACTGCTCACAGCATAAGATTTAAGCTGCATAAAGAGAATAGAGCAATCAATAATAATAAGCTTTAAAATGTGTGGTTAAATTTGCTCACCCATATTGTAGCCATATTTAGTAGTTTTTCTGCCTCTGACTCATCACAAAACCCAGGGCTAACGATAATGCTCATATTGTACTCCTTGAGTTCTGCTATGCCAAAACTAAGTGCATCAAAAAGCCTCCACTCCATCAGAAGTAAGGTAGAGGAGTCTACCCATTGGAAGGTATAGTTAGCAGCAGTTGAGTTAAATTCATCTTCATATGGGCTTGGAGTGATGTAGTAATACACTGTGATTATGTGCGAAGGAGACTGATTTGGAGGATAAAAACCAAACAGGAGGTCCTCTTGGTTTTCTGTGTTGTTAAGTATTGCCTTCTTGAGTTCTCCGTAGTTTTTGGTACAAGGGTTTCCCTCTGAAATATGCTGCAACATTAGGAAAAGTAGCAAAGAAATGAAAGCCATGTTTGTACAGTGAGCCCCACCCTTAATTTAGCTCCACCCACCTTTAGATCTACATCCCACGCAAATTTTTGAAATAATTATTTTCCGAAAATGAGCATAACTATTAAGATAACTATTACTAACTATTTTTATTGAAACATAACTAACTAAAATCAAAATCTAAAGTTCCAAAACTAACTATTTCTAACTAAACCTCTCAATTTGTAAGCAAAACTAGACTGTAGAGCTAGCTATGTAAAAGATGATTATTTAACTAATACATATGGAACAGGCATTGCCCTGTTTTCCCCATCATCATAAGGGATTGGCATAGTTTCATCATCAGCATCAACCTCATTTTCCCTTTCCATTTGTATTGCAGTCTCCTTTAGATCTATACCCTCATAATTCAACAACCCTCTTACTTCTTCATTTGGTGGTTCATAGCTATTGTTCACTTCTCTGTATGGAAGGTTTACTTCATCATCTGCCTCTCCATTTTCTTTGTCATTAGTATCTTCATCTTTTTGATCAATCTCAACAAAAATCCTTGCTATGCGGTATGTGATGAGTGTCACAATAGCAACAATCACTATGAGCTGCAAAAGGTCATCTGCAAGCTGAGCAACAATAATGAAGTAATTGGATATATAATGGATGACAAATAGTATGGCGGGCCACATCACCACAATAACAAAAACAAAATAGCATAAAGCAGCTATTGTGACCTTGCCATCTTGATCACCATCCTTTCTACCTCTCTTTTTACACAGTTCACGAAATTTTCTAAAAAAGTAAGGTATCTTCTTGTATATGATCAATATTGGCAAGTACATTGGGATCAGGATGAGAGCTCTTGATAGAGCAATAGAAGGATAAACAGCAAATAGC